AATGTACATTTTCTTGCGTCTAACACATTGACACAATAAAGTTGTATTTTCCAATTTTGAGTCTTATTTTGAGCCAGAACTTACGAGAAAGCATAATTGTGGGGTTTTTGATCAATTACTCGGCTTTATTTTGACTAACTTACATGGGATTTTGTACAAAGATACTTTTCTACAGGTCACACACATTGACAAAAAAAAAAGAGGATAGACTTGCTCAATTTTAGTAACTATAGAGGGGTCAAGATGCCACAAAAAGCCCAATTTTAGGATTTTTTATAATTACTCCACTGTATTTTGTCAAATTTACATGGAATTTAGTACGCATATACTTTTTTTTATCGGTCCTAAAGAGATCTTTAGACTATTTATGAGTATGTCAACCACTTACATGGGATTTTGTACAAAGATAACTTCTTGCAGGTCCCAAGCATAGATATAGATAGTTTCGTTTTTTTTTGAGTTTTTCATGATGTTTCTGGTGGTAAAATTGGCCATGCTGGGATTGCGTGGCGGAAAGATGTTTCATTCGCCCGCGAACATTGGCCTCTTTTATTATATTTTTATGTTTTTTACTCACGTCAGAAATATTCAAGCTCTTTTTCTAATCTTATTCTTATGTTGCTTTGAAATCAAGTCAAGGTCAATCAGCTTCTTCTTATTATGTCATTTTTGTGTCCTAGTTTTAAAGATGTTAAGAAATATTGATTATCTTTATATATAATTATCTTGTTTCATATTTCTTCGAGAACGAGTTATAATCTGCCACATTTTGTTTTACTGAACACTTACACTTATATTTAGCAAGTAAAATTTATCAAATTATGACTCCGTTTATGCATATATATGTGTATATTTGCACCATAATTTTACACTACTTAGAAGATTGTTCTACAACTGAAACGAAGTCTTATTAATTTTACTACATTTGTTTAGACATTTTCTTTTTCCCATAGGACAACTTTAAGATATTGCTGTGACAACTTTACTAATATTATATGTAACAAAAGTATACTTTGGATTGATAATGATATGATTTGGTAATCGCGTATGATAAAATTTCATGCCTGTTTCTTTGCATAAGATATTAAGATATTAGTTGCTTACCATTGATGGTATTCCACATCTTCATGTTTTATTTAACATGGTCATATCATGATATGATACAATTTGTCACCTTATAAGGAGAAGATAACTAATAACATTAGTAATATAATCTTGCGCTGTCTGAAATATTCGCGAGATTAGACCATAGAGGGCATGATAAAGTCGAGAGCTTTACAAGTACAAAGATAAAGTTGTCAAATGGATGTTTGTTGTACATTCCTAAAAAAATCGTTGAAAACGTTGTCAACTGTACCCACTCTGTATACTTTGTCCTTATTAGATTACAAATTAGTTAAGGAGTTGACGAAATAGTTCAACGATGAATTGTAGTGCCCCCCTCCTTAATTGAGTCATGCTGCTTCTACAGATATGGGATATCTCACAAAAAAAACCCTCCCCACGATATGTGTTATTAAAACCTAAAGCAAGGGCTTTTAATATCAGAACAGAGAATTTTTCATCAATAAATGTCTATGTTATTTCTAGTTATGTTGCTATTCGTGCCCTCATATTATTTTATGTTAAATCAACGTGGAAACTTTACAGAATTGACACTCACGTAAATGATGTCTTTGTTTTTAACCAGTCGCAAAGAAATACTCAGGATGTTCCAAAAACAATAACAACCAAAAGTATTAAGTAACAATGTAATTCATTCTACCCTGTTGATTTTCTACACAATAACACTCTGATATAAAAGATGATTACATGCACTGACATTGCATTATTTGTTGGTTAAAACAATTAAAGGTACTTAAAAAAAATTAGCTTCAGTTGGTGGTTAAAACAAATAAAGGTGATTATAAACACTAAGCTAGCTTTACTTAGTGGTCAGAATATTAAATATGATCATAAATACTAAGCTGGCATTATTTAGTGGTCAAAAAATTAATGAAGATTATTAACACTAAGCTGGCTTTATTTAATAGTCAAAAAATTAAAGGTGGTTATAAACAATAACCTGACTTTATCTAGTGGCAAAAAATTAAATATGATTATAAACACAAAGATGGCTTTTTTAGTGGTCAAAAATTAGAGGTAATTATAAAAAGAACCTGGCTTTATTTAGAGGTCAAAATCTGATGGTATTCCTTTCAGCTGTGGGAGAGTTATAATGTGAACGTCAATCTCACTGTTCGTTGGTAAAAGTGTAGCCCAAGAGTTGGTCGTGATGACTAGCTGCCTTCCCTCTAGATTTTCACTGCTAAATTAGGGACGGCTAGTGCAGATAACTCTCTTGTAGCTTTGCGCAAAATTCAAACCAAACCAAACCAGTGAACACTAAAATGTTTTATTTGATAGTAAAAAAAAAATCAAAGGTGATTATAAACCATGACCTCGCTTTATTTAGTAGTCAAAGTATTAAAGATGTTTAAAAACGCTAAGTTGGATTTATTTAATGGTCAAAATATTAAAGATGATTAAAAAAAAGTAAGTTGGCTTTATTTAGTGGTAAAGAAATTTTAAGACGATCATAAACACTAAACTGGCTTTATTTTGTGGTAAAAAATTAAAGGTGATTATAAACTTTTAGCTGGCTTTATATAATGTTTATTAAGATGATTATAAACATTAAGCTGGCTTTATTTAGTGGTAAAAATATTAAAGGTGATTATAAACACTAAACTGGTTTTATCTAGTGGTCATAATATTAGAGATGATTGTAAACACTAAGCTGGCTTTATCTAGTGGTCTTAAGATTAAAGATGATTACAAACACTTAGCTGCTTTATTTAGTGGTCAAAACATTGAATATGATTATAAACATTAAACTGGCTGTATTTAGTGGTAAAGAATTAAAGGAGATTATAAACACTTAGGTGGCTTTAGTTAGTAGTAAAAAATTAGAGATGATTATAATCACTAAGCTGGCTTTATTTAGTGGTCAAAACATTGAATATGATTATAAACATTAAACTGGCTGTATTTAGTGGTAAAGAATTAAAGGAGATTATAAACACTTAGGTGGCTTTAGTTAGTAGTAAAAAAATTAGAGATGATTATAATCACTAAGCTGGCTTTATTTAGTGGTCAAAAAATTAAAGGTGATTATATACACTTAGCTGCTTTTATTTTTTAGTTAAAAATTAAAGATGATTATAATCACTAAACTGACTTCATTTAGTGGTAAAAGCATTGAAGATGATTATAAACACTTAACTGGGTTTATTCACTGGTTAAAAAATTAAAGATGATTATAAACACTAAATTGACTTTATTTTGATGTCAAAAAATTAAAGTTGATTACAACCACTACGCTGGCTTTATCTTATGGTTAAAACATTTCAAGTTGCTTATAAACAGTAAGTTAATTTCAATTGGTGGTTAAAACTGTTAAAAGTGATTATAAACATTGAATTGGTTATATTGGTGATTAAAACAATTCAAGATGCTTATAAACACAGATATGTAATGACTCCTACCATGGAGCAGCTTAGTTTCTACAGTAATAATTACAATCAATAATAAATAGTCTTCATTATGAGCAACAGACAAACTATAAAAAAGTTTCTGTGACCAGGTCATCAGGTGGGTACAATTGATACTAGCGGTGTTTTTGGAAAGATGATTATAAGCTATAAGTCGGTTTTATTTGGTGTCTAAAAACAACGGTAGATTATTATAAAATCATCAACAGTGTTTAGAGTTACATCTTACAATTTTCGATGGTTTAGTTTTTATGTTGATGGCTCAAGCGAAATACAAATAGAAATGAAAGTGTTTTTTTTTTGTCTGAAGTTTGCTTCATTGCTAAATTAATAAATAGGTTTGGTTATAGATATAACTTACAAACATTTTATACGTCAAATGTCTTGCTTAGCAGAGACATTAGTGGACTTTGAACGGGAATGATTAGTTCGTTGATTATCAGCATCATAGTACAAAACGTTTATCTAGATTTCTCAATTATGACCTTGCATATTGATCAGAGTACAGATTTATGATCCTCTTTCTAAATAAGATGTCATAATTCAAATTCTGCAGAAATACAAACTTATTTCATCCTACAGTTATCTTTTTATTTACTCATTGTTACTGGAAAAATATATACATATATATATATGCATTTTTTTTTCTTCAGACAAATAAGAAGTTTTGGTTTTGTACTAATGAAAGGTATTTTTGCCAAAATAATACGGCTCTCATTAGAATAAAACAATTAATCAAGTTTTTAAAATAGTTAATTTTCAAAAACTTGAGAATTCTGTCTGGTATATGTGTAGCTTATGTGTTTTTTGAAAAATTTAGGTAAGGATGGAAAACCATGCACAAAAGAGAATAATATTTCGACAAAAACACACCAGGGGAAATTTTTTAGTGTTATTGAAATACAACTTATAAAGATATGAAAACATGAGTAGTATGTACATAGATATTTATTTATTAGATTTTGTACTTGAAATGTTTTTTGAAGTCCAAGGTTCTCATTCGCACATTTCTCCGTATGTGAAAGTATTATTTATGTAATTCTAGATGTATTATTTTTGTCATGTTTATACATATGATTTTAATTGGACACGCTTTCTGTTTGACCTACAAGTCTCAAATGTCTTAATTTTAGGTTTAAAAGGGTAAAGAAAACGTGAACTTTCTATATAATGAAAAAGATAATCATTTTTCTTATTGCTTTTACTTTTCGACGTAAACACACGTTTGGTTGACTAATACATACATAGGTTTATAATGGCAGTTTTTAGACATTCAGGTAAAACCAAACTAGCTAAGTTACATATTATACAAGCAAAGAAGAATGTTGCACAAGAGACGACGATGAGGTTATGAATCATCAGAAATCCAAGTTATCTATAATTTTTTACATGAACATATCACAAAAGACTCTTATCAACGTGTTATCAGAAACAGTATCATAGATCATACTTAAAGCTCTCTTCACATGCTAGTTGTTTCTCCAGTTGTTCTCTTTTCGACTACATCCGAGCTGAAACTTCTTTCGATCGTCTCTCTGTAGTCTGTACAGTCAGCTGCCACTATGCCTTCGCTTCATATTGCAGTTTTGGTCGCTTTTACTTTAGTTGTTTCCATTAAGTGTGGGAAAGGACTAGATGATCCACAAGTTTCTCTGAAAGATAGAGAACATATTATACCCTGGAAATCAGAGGATGAGTTTGCTGCAATCATTCGACAAGGAATGAACATTGGAACAACAGGGAAGACGGTTTTGAGTTTAATTTTGCCTGAACTTTTGAAATTAGGTTCAAATATGACATTGTCTTCTCGATGCGTAGCAGGATTGGTGAGTTTCATAAAAGGCCTAACAACGTACCAGCCTTGGGCTTTGGAAAGTAAGTCTAAAGTAATAACAAAATACATATTTAAACTTTATTATATCATAATGGACCCACATTCATGAACTAAATGAACTATTGGAGAAGAAATGCTTAGAAAGATCACTGTATTCTGAGTTTAGTGGCAGTATTATGAAAGAAATGTTTTAATGTTTATTCTTATGTATTTTGGGATACTGTCTTTGATGTATCCTACATGCTGATTCCTAATGTATGTATAAATAGCTTACATATTTTATATCGCAATCGGATATTTCAGTTTTGCTGTGTTATTAAGTTATTAAGAGAATAAAAGGAAGTGTTATAAGCTTAATGATTATCGCTATGATTTGCGAAGGTGAAATTGGGAACAACATATATATGTTTTCAATACAAGTAAAAACTGATTGAATAAGATTAAAGATAGACAATATCAGAAGGTTTTCCGAACATAAAACACATGGTTTGATCATATAACATGATTTGAGAGCTGTTGAATATAGCTTGCGTAACTTATACAAAGTCGATATAACGGTAAGCTCCTTCTTGAACCTAGAATAATGACTGTAAGTTATACAAAGCAGATATAACGGTAAACTGCTTCTTGAATCTAGAATAATAAACTAGAAGTAGTTTGTTCGTTTTTGGATAAATTCAAAACCACTACACTGGTCTGTTATGGTGGCGTTTGTTACTTCATTAACCAGAGCACAGGAAACGTTGTCATTTCATTACGAGAAGCCAGGCCTATTGAGGCTCAGCGGTAAGTCTGAGGCTTTATAACACTACATTTGGAGTTTCGATACCCGCGGTCGGCAGAGCACAGATACCCCATTGTGTAGCTTTGTGTTTAAAAACAAACAAACAAAACATTACGAGGAGGTTATTTGTCAGCATTTAAATGCTATTCATTTCATGTGAACTTCCAGTAGTTAGAATATTTAGATAATTCCAAATTAAGTGCATTAGAAAGGCTAAGTATTTTTCTAAGAATAATAATACCTAGGCAAAAACAATAGACATTTTAAGTAATTATATTTTTGATTCTCATTAAGACGAAATACAACAACAACAGGTTTTCCAATATTTAAGTTCATAAATGTGCAGCTTTGTCCTATTTTCGAACTGAAAACTATTCTATAAAAATATGTAGTCAATTGATATGGTTTTACATCAAAGAATAGGCTGGCGTGGCCAAATGGTGTTTAAGAGTGGCTTTAAATCCTACTATTTGGTCAGACAAAAGAATCTCAAGAGCGATGAGTGCTGTTGATTTCCTTTTAATTTATAATTTTCAAATTAAGGATGGCTATTTCGCAGATGGTTCTTGTGTAGGTTACCACAAAATTTCTAAATAAATTAGTGTAGATTCTCAGTTTAGTTTAAAAATAGTTTTTGAACATGTCAGATGTTACAGAGTTCCTGTTGTTTCAGTTATTGATGCATCTGCAAAGATAGAAAGTGGGCTTTTGAAAGGTAAATTCAGTTTCATTGGATCATACGACGAATGCTTGAATGTCCACATCCCGGATGAAATTGCATTGTCCTCAAATGCTGTTCTTTCTGATGTCAAAGGTCAATATTGCTCCGTTGTTCTACAACCAAAACTTCCCCAAATGAACATAACTGGAGAAGAGAATGACACCTTGAAGTTAGATACACTTGTTAGTTTTCAAGACATAAAGAGGGTAAGATCTAATATATTCCATTAAACACGGTTCGAATTGATAAAAAGCTTATTCAAAGAAATTATCCCATATCGTATGTAATTAAAAATTAAACTGAGTATACACTGCTGTAATTTATTTTACTCAGTCACACGAGGCTGAAACTCCAGCTTTTATAGCTGCTTTAATAATTTATATATGTCACAATTTGTTACACAGAGAAAAGGCTTTGGCTTCCACAGGTACTTAAAAACATTTAGTTAAACATGCTACATATTGTTACAGAAAAGAAAGGCCTTGGCTTTCATAGATACTTAAATACTTTTAGTTAAACATGCTACATATTGTTACAGAAAATAATGACTTTGGCTTCCTTAGATACTTAAAAGCTTTTAATTAAACATGTTACATATTGTTACAGAAAGACTTTGGCTTCCTTAAATACTTAAAAACTTTTAGTTATACATGCTACAAATTGTTACAGAAAAGAAAGCCTTTGGTTTTTATAGGTACTTAAATACTTTTAGTTAAACATGCTACATATTGTTACAGAAAAGAAAGACTCTGGCTTCCTTAGATGCTTAAAAACTGTTAGTTAAACATGTTACATATTGTTACAGAAAAGAAAGGCCTTGGCTTCCTTAGGTACTAAAAACGTTAAGTTAAACATGCTACATATTGTTACAGAAAAGAAAGCCTTTGGTTTTTATAAGTACTTAAATACTTTTAGTTAAACATGCTACATATTGTTACAGAAAAGGAAGGCTGTGGCTTTCACAGGTGCTTAAAAATTTTTTAGTTAAACATGCTACATATTGTTACAGAAAAGAGAAGGCTGTGGCTTTCACAGGTGCTTAAAAATTTTTAGTTAAACATGCTACATATTGTTACAGAAAAGAGAAGGCTGTGGCTTCCATAGGTACTTTAAAACTTTGAGTTAAACATGTTACATATTGTTACAGAAAGAAAGGCCTTGGCTTCCTTAGGTAATTAAAAACTTTTAGTTAAACATGCTACATATTGTTACAGAAAGAAAGGCCTTGGCTTCCTTAGGTAATTAAAAACTTTTAGTTAAA